CCCACCATACTGGGCAATTTTAATCAAGTATCTAACCTCTTTTTGGGGAAGGTGGTTGAGAGGATGGTTGTACAGCAGCTTCAGAGGACCTTGGAAGAAGTGGATTATCTGGATCCCTTTCAGTTAGGATTCAGGACCAGGTATGGGATGGAAATGGCATTGGTCACACTTTTCAATGACCTCTGGCAAAGGTGGGATGGGGGTTGTGCATCCATCCTTGCTCTACTTGACCTCTCTGTGGTTTTCAATACCATTGACCATGATATCCTTCTGGATCAGCTCAGAGGATTGGGGGTGGGTGGCATGGTGTGCTGGTTTGCCTCCTTTCTCCAGGGTTGATTCTATTTGGTGGTGATTGGGGAGTGGAGGTCCCACCCTCAGTCCCTACATGTGGGGTGCTGCAGGGTTCAGTGCTCTCTCCTCTTGTATTTAATATGCACATGAGGCCACTGGGTGAGATCATCCATCACCATGGGATGAGGTATCATCAATATGCTGATGATACCCAATTATATATCTCTGCCTCTGGTAAATTAAGCAATGCCATCTTATCCTGGTGCCTGGAGGCTGTGAGGGTCTGGATAGGAACAACAGATTTCAGCTGAGCCCTGGCAAGACTGAGTGGTTTTGGGTGCTGGGGACTGCCAGTTCTAGGACTATGCCATCTTTGGTGCCGGATGCTGTTGTACTGCCCCAGACAGACTGGTGTACAATCTGGGGGTCCTCCTGGACTCACAACTCCTGCTTGAAGAGCAAGTTGCAGTTGTGGCTAGGAAGGCCTTTGCATAGCTTCATGTTGTGCACCAGTTGTGCCTGTTCCTAGATCAGGGGGCTTTTCTCACAGTCACTCATGCCCTAGTCACCTCCAGATTGGACTACTGTGATGCGCTGTACATGGGGTTTCCCTTGAAGCGTATCCAGAAGCTTCAACTGGTGCAGAATGGAGCAATGTGGACAGTTATGTGTGCTTCTAGAACAGCACATGTTACACCTCTGCTCTGTGAGCTGCATTGGTTGCCAGTTTGCTTCCAGGTCCAATTCAAGGTGCTGGCTTTAACCTTTAAAGCCCTTCATGGTATGGGACAAGGTTATCTGAGGGACCACCTCTCCCCGATTACATCTGCCTGACCCATTAGATCTGGCAGAGAAGGCATGTTGCGGGTCCCGTTGGATAAGAACTTGCACTTGGCAGGTCCCAGGATCGGGGCCTTTTCTGCCATGGTGCCCACCTTATGGAACATTCTCCTCCATGAAGTGAGGTTAACTCCATCCCTGTTAATGTTCTGTAGATCCCTTAAGACCTGGCTATGTCATCAGGCCTGGGGGTCCCAGGGACCAGTGACATTCTAAGATGGCTCCATTATTGTGATTAATATTTGCTGTCTCCAGTGCCTGGCAGTTTGTATATTTTAATAATGACTGCTTAGGTGATGGAAGGTATCTATGAAGGGAGAGGTGATGTGGTGGATTGCAGTAGAGAGGTTCTCAGGAAGCATGGGGCACATTCCAGGAAGGGCAGAAAGACAAGAGACAACACAGTCCAGAGCAGGAGCGTGGGAAGTGTAAGAGATTTAGAATAGCCACTCCCTAGAATCTCCCTCCTAGAGTCATTTCTTATAAGATGGGTGGCCATATAAATTTGATTAAAAAAAAGCAAAAACAAACCAGAATGATCACCTGGATTTTGTTCTAATCAACTCTTCAGAGCACTCTGCTTAAAATAAACTATTCTGAATAGGGCTTAAAACTGGTGGAATGGTGCTGTAATTGTTATCTATCAATATGTTTATTCAACAAAAATATAAACCCAGTAAGATCAGATTAGTTATCAATATTTCTATGACATATTTAAATATATTGTTTTGACTTTTTTGACTTGAAGCTGGGAATATTTCACTGCAAAATCACTCTTCCATTTGCATTTATTTCATATTTGCCAGTTTTATGATCTTTTTAACAATGGCAATTATCTTTCTCATTGCTTCTGATAGCACATTTTAGTTTAATAATGTTTATACAGTTTATTTTAAGGAAAAGCAGAACATGCATTATTTTAAAAAATGGCATAATGCCTCAGAATATCAATAATAGGTTTAGCGAAGTGTCTGCTATTTTTCTACTATACTACTTTATTGTGCCACCTATGATTTTAATAAAGTTCTAATTGTACAGTTTTGTTCCTTTGGCTATGGTATCAACAAATTTATGAATTCATCAGAAATTCCTATTACAGATAAGAGAATACCCATTTCAGTGTATTGATTAAATATGATAAAATGTGAATTATTAATAATTTTTCTTTTGACTGTATTCATGATAAAGCCTTTTTAATTTTATTACATCCAAGTATCTTTCTTCTTCTGTTTGACCTCTTGCAGAAAAATTGCACTGCCCTTTTCAATATTACAACTGCCCCCTTATAATATTATTTCTTTGTTACAAAAATGAAGTTATTTAGTATTCACTGCAAGATTTTTATCCTAGCTTTGTTCAGATAAAGAAAAGAAGAATGAGAATACATAAAATTGTTTTAATTAAAACTCCATTCTGGTAACTGAACACTATTATGTGTAATTGCTGATCTCAGGATCTTTGCAAGGCTTCAGTAAATTACTTTAATCCATCTACAGTTTATTACAGCCCATTTGCTTTGCAGATGGATTAGTAGCTTAAAAAGAATGGCTAACTATACCAAAAATATTTAATCTGCTGTTTAGTCTCCTCATTTCTATGTCATGGATGCTAATATGCAAATATTTCCATATCTTGGCACTTAGTAATTGACATCTCCACATTTTAACATTTCCTTTTCTGCTCCTTAACTGAAATATCTAATGATTATATCCCTTGAAGCATTTAGTCTGTTAGAAAATCTTCAGTTGATTTCTATATGTAACATAATTCCAATTTAAAAGATTTTGAGATCCAAGTAATATATCAAGCTGCCAAAAACATTAATTTAATTATCTTTTATAACACATTCACAGATCTATACTAGAAAGCCCTCATAATTGCACCACTCTATAATATCAAATGCCAAAGATTTTAAATTTTCTTTTAGTTCTATTACATCAACATAACAGAACTAAGGCATCATAATATAATTATATTTTAAATCTCTTTCATGTAGTTCTTATGTTGCATATTTTGCCACGTGTTTACATTTTGTTTGTACATTACATTTTTATTGTACTTGTTTTGTCTATCTTATGAATACATTGTCCCTTTTAAAAAAGCATACACACCCTTACAAGGAAAGGAAAGATCAACAGACAGAAAGATGGATGCTATTGCAAATTTCCTTTTGAATAAAAATACAAAATAAATCAAATTATGAATTTTAAAAATGGACAAACTCTAGAATTCAAGTCCTGAGAATCACCCATAGGACTAATGCGAAGCATGTTGTGGCAATTTTTGAGTTAAGTGCTTCACAATTAGGAGGCATTTGAGTCTTTCAAATAAGGATTAAAGTTTGCCCAATGACTGCATTTGACTGAATTTTGACACATTTCTAATTGAAAGTGAGATTTCTAAAATTTTTATTGCTACACTAATATTCGAGATTTATTGCTGATACACAGTGGATAATTGAGAAAGTCAAAGAAAAACAAAAAGAAATCAGTATGTGCTTCATTGATTATAGAAAGTCCTTTGGGTTGATCATGTTAAGTTGTGGAATGTGCTTAGGAAAATGGGAACCCCAGAATGTTTCATTGTCCTCATGCAAAGTCTATACATAGATCAGAAAACCATAGTATGGACAGAACATGGTGAAACACACTGATTCCACACTGGCAAATCAGAATATCATGGACAGCCAAAAAAACAAAAAAATGGATCATCAAATAAATCAACCCAGAGTTCTCAGTTGAGGACCAAATGACCATATTCAAAGTATCATACTTCAAACTCATTATGAAAAGACCTAGCTCTTTGGAAAAGTCTATAATGCTGGGAAAGGTGGAAGGAAAGAGAAGAAGAGGATGACAGCAGCAAGGTGGATGAGCCCAATTATAGTGGCCATGTGTGTACTGTTGGAAGACCTGAGGACAGGTCCACCTGAAGAAACTCTTTGTGGTTGCTAAGAATTGACACCAACTTAATGGCATATAATCAATCAATAAATATTCAAGATTAAGTTATTTTGCAAGAGATGTTACACTAGCTCCATTAGCCAGTGACTCCAAAGCAGTTTGAATACAACCTGTGATTGTCTTCATTTTTGCCAACCTCAAAATGCTGAGAATGAGGACCAACAAAACATATAAAACAGTTATATATAGCAGTTGCTATTTGGGGAAACCATCAAATCACCAAACCATAATTCCTCTCAAAAGATCTGCTTAGGACCAGAAGCCCAGAGGTATGATGAAGCAGGATTTCCTGAAAATGGAGAAAAAATGGGGAATACAAAGCTGCTTTAGAACTGGTGCAGAGTGCCCAGATGGAAATGCCTATAGTTTCTGCCTCTGAAGTTAAAAAATTCTGCACCTAGTTAGAAGACTGCAGGAGCACATAAGGTATATTGCTCTGAGTATCTCTGTTCTCATTGGAAAGCCTGACATGTTGCATGATTAGAGTGCCTACTCAACCGTACAACAGAATCAATGAGGCATACAGTATATCTCTAATAATGTCTGCACACGCATAGGCAAAACTATAACTTTCTAATCTTTACAGTGCAGTTTTTCAATTTTCAATGTTAAAAAGCTTATCTTTACCTATGTCCCACGTAAATGGTTTTTTTTCCATTTCCTTCTTTCCAATGACGTACCAAATGCAAGCCATCCAGTGAGCCAGCAATGCAAACATAGACATCAGCAGTGTCAGAACAATTGTGCTGTGCTGGGAATAACGATCCAACTTCTGAAGAAGACGTAAAAGTCGCAGCAAGCGTACAGTCTTGAGGAGGTGAACAATCGATACCTAAACATACCAGAAAGTGAAATAATGTTATAGCTATATTTCCAAACAGAATAAAACTGGGCCACGCTTACTGTCAGTCAGGCAGGTATTACAATTTAGGATGGAGATCAGCTACATTTTTCCTTCATATTGTCTATTTATAAAATGTATGTCCTCTATTTCCCTTTTTTAGACAGTACCAAAACTAGGGAAGAAATGTAAATACTGTTGCTTAAAAAAACAAACAAGAAAAATGGGTTATTGTAGTCATTGCAGAAAGAGTGAGGAACATACTACTGATGACATGTTATCTTATGATTTGTTACTGATGCTCCTTACCCCTTCTCTGGTTTCTAGAAATTGTTTTCCAATTGTTCTTACCTTGTTGTTCTTAGTAAATATAACACAGCTAAAAAATGTGTGTCCTGAGTACAATAAATTATTGTGTCCTCAGTACAATAAATATTACTAATAAAAAAAGACACAGGCACTGCCTTCAATATGACATC